CACTGCACAGACCGTTCTGTGTATGACATCAAAGTACAGCAAGACTTATTTGACATCAAAACAAAATTTTTTAAAATGCTGTCTAATCGCTCTCGCTGTACTTTGATGTCATACACAGAATGGTCTGTGCAGTGCTGCTTCAGTCAAACACCTATTGTGTTTTATTAGGAGATGCACAACAGTTCTTCTGTTGCTTTATAGGTAATATTTTCACGTACGCAATTTAGCAAAATCAGACAATATTATGTCTAATATATACCACGATATTAATTTCTTATTATTGAATTGTTGTAAAGAAATATCACATTTGCAAATCAGTGTTCAAAAATGCTGGAAATCACTTCATGTAGCCCCAAGAGTGATTACTGATAAACTGTCTGAAAAAGAAAGAAAGTCACGTTATAGAGAAGAAAAAAATCACCCACTGACTTTCAAAGCTGCTACATAGTAACGACTTTCTACTTCGAGGACCTTGATAGAAATGTAGTGGAGTGAAAAGTACAATATTTGTCTTTCAAATGTAGTGAAGTTAAAGTCATAAGTTTCCAGAAAAAATAATACTCAAGTAAAGTACAGATACTCAAAAAGTGTACTTAAGTACAATACTCAAGTAAATGTACTTAGTTACTGTCCGCCTCTGGTAGAAATGGAAGGAGAAGAGTCAGGTGGTGCTCCGGCGAAGAAAAAAAATATTTTTATAAATTTTGTAAATTTAACAACAGCTGGATGGAAGAATTAAATTTCTTGTCTCGAAGCCATGTAAACAACGCCCACACCTTTTGCAAAGTGTGTCGCACTGATTTTAATATCGGACACGGTCAGAAAAATTACATATCTCAGCATATTAAATCACAGCGTCTGCTGGACGCCACTCTCTCGTGAACGCGCGTACGACAGTTAGCGGAAGTTAGAGATTAAGTTTTTTAAAAAGTGACGTGACGTGGCCAAGTATGGTGACCCATACTCGGAATTAGTGCTCTGCATTTACCCATCCAAAGTGCACACGCAGTTGGGGGTTCGGTGCCTTGCTCAAGGGCACCTCAGTCGTGGTATTGAAGGTGGGAGAGAGCACTGTACATTCGCTGTACATTAAGGTTTATAAAGTTGTAAATATGGATATTTTTCATACACAAACTCATCACTTCGGGAGGCCTTTAGTAACCCCCTGGAGCCGTGTGCACTTCTTTTTTAATTGATTGGTTAAATTTTTTGGACTTCAAATTTTGGGCTACCATCCACTCCCATTATAAAGCTTGGAAGAGCCAGGATTAGTGGTCGACCGATATGGGTTTTTTGACAACCGATGCCGATATCTTGGAAAGCAGGGTGGCCGATGGCCGATATAATTTTATTTATTTTAATTTATATTTAAGAAATTTGAAATCATTTGAAAATGGATTAAAAATAATTGTGTAAAATAAACATACTTATACTTTAGAAGACAAAGCATTTTTCACAAATAAACAAATATTTAATAAAAATCTAAATAAAAAGGAAGTAAACACTGTAACCAACAGGGCACTCAGTATTCCGTTTGTACTCGAACACATCGGCCAAACAGAAAAACTTATCGGCCGATGCTGATATTTGGCATTTTTCGGCCTTGGCGATATATCGGTCGACCACTAGCCAGGATGTTTTTAATATAACTCCGATTGTATTTGTCTGAAAGAAGAAAGTCATATATATCTAGGATGGCTTGAGGGTAAGTAAATCATGGGGTAATTTTCATTTTTGGGTGAACTAACCGTTTAATAATCATGGCTCTGGAGCACATTACATCACTACAATATGGGAAAAGAAACTGGTACTGGATATGGGAAAGTATTCCTATGATGTGCAAGAATCCTGCTCAGATCCATCAACTCACTTTAAACTGATTCACAGGGCCTATGCAACTCTGTATGCGTTACATAGAATTAAACGCTTGCCTACTCCTGTTTTTACACTGTGTAACTCAAATAGTGTGGGGACCTATATGCATATGTTCTTTGACTGTCCAATCATGAGTAAATTTTGGGATAAGGTTTTTCTAATTGTTTCAGAGTTATGTGACAGAGTTATTCCTAGACATCCCAGTATTTGTTTGCTGAATAATGATTCTCATCTTAATTTGAATACATATCAGCGCAGAGCATTTCACATCACACTAACTGCAGCCAAAAGGGTAATCTTTAAAATTTGGTATGAACCCACATTCCCGGGTGACAAAATGTGGCTTATAGATCTAAAACATATTGCGCCATTAGAACGTTCAACAGCAAGGATTAATAAAGCTAAAATAAGAACAATTAAGGCATGGACAGAATTTATTGAGAAACTTCCTTATAATAAATCGATAGACCAAATATATTGAAAAATGAATAGGAGCAGTTAGTATTCCAGGTGTGCATAGATGTGGTATGTCATCCCTATAGTGTTTTTTATGCAAACCCTGGCTTGTATATAGTTATGTTTGCCATGTCTGTTGGCTTTGTTGTACAATAAATAAACAATTAAAAAATATATAATAATAAAGAATAAGAATTTAATTGACATTCAACAAATAAAAAAACAGATAAAATACCGATAAAAAATGATAAAGCTTGGCTTAATGAATATTAGAACAGTAACACTTTATTTTAAGGACCAATTCTCACTATTAACTAGTTGCTTATTAGCATGCATATTGGCTGTTTATTATTACTTATAAACCCCATATTAATGCCTTATTATGCATGACCATATTTTAGATCCCTTAATCTGACCCCATACCTAAACTTAACAACTACCTGACTAACTATTAATAGCAGCAAATTAGGAGTTTGTTCAGGAAAAACTCTTAGTTAATAGTGAAGATGTGTTCCCTATTCTAAAGTGTTACATATATCCCTTTCTACAAAACCGCTTTTTGTAAATGAAATGATCAAAGATCATAACCTAAATGTGCTCTGTTTGACAGAAACCTGGCTACAACCAGATTATGACATTACTTTAAAGGAGTCTACCCCCCAAGATTATTGTTATAAACATGAGCTGCATCCAAAAGGTAAAGGGGGATTAAGGTAATAGTAATATTTTTATATTTGTATTTATTCTTATTTATATTTTTATCATAGTACTGAAGCTGGCTTATTAGCATGCATATTGGCTGTTTATTATTACTTATAAACCCCATATTAATGCCTTATTATGCATGACCATATTTTAGATCCCTTAATCTGACCCCATACCTAAACTTAACAACTACCTGACTAACTATTAATAGCAGCAAATTAGGAGTTTGTTCAGGAAAAACTCTTAGTTAATAGTGAAGATGTGTTCCCTATTCTAAAGTGTTACATATATCCCTTTCTACAAAACCGCTTTTTGTAAATGAAATGATCAAAGATCATAACCTAAATGTGCTCTGTTTGACAGAAACCTGGCTACAACCAGATTATGACATTACTTTAAAGGAGTCTACCCCCCAAGATTATTGTTATAAACATGAGCTGCATCCAAAAGGTAAAGGGGGATTAAGGTAATAGTAATATTTTTATATTTGTATTTATTCTTATTTATATTTTTATCATAGTACTGAAGCTGCTCTCATCACAGTTACAAATGACCTGCTCTTATCATCCAATTGTGGTTGTATCTCTCTATTAGTGCAACTGGATCTTAGCACTGCATTTGACACTATCGACCACAATATTCTTTTGAGTAGACTACAAAACTTTGTTGGCATTAGTGGAATTGCATTGGCATGTTTCAAATCATACTTATCTGACCACCATCAATTCATAGCAGTGAATGAAGAGGTATCATATCGATCACAAGTACAGTATGAAGCACCACAAGGCTCAGTACTAGGACCACTGCTTTTCATGTTTTACATGTTACCCTTGGGGAGATATCATCAGGAAACATGGTGTTAGCTTCCACTGTTATGCTGATAATACTCAGCTCTGTATTTCTTCGCAGTCTGATGAAACATACCGTATTTATGACCTCAAACATACCGTTCACAACCTCAAGGTTAGATTATTGTAATACTTTATTGGGTGGTTGCTCTATATTTATGACCTCAAACATACCGTTCACAACCTCAAGGTTAGATTATTGTTATACTTTATTGGGTGGTTGCTCTGTGCGCTTAATAAACAAACTCCAGCTGGTCCAAAATGCAGCAGCTAGAGTTGGCCACTAATTGGTGTGATTTTATTTAGGCATCATTATTCCTGGGCACAGTTCCTGGGCACAGTTCCCACAGCTTCAGCTTCTGACAGATAATACAAGTGACTGTACATGTCATGGTTATATGTAGATAATTAATTATCTCACAAATTCCCTTCCCAGTTCTGCAGTGCTTAAAAAAACAGACACCAATTAAATATACTAAAGGTGGGCGAACTAGTCTGGATAGGGGATCTGGCCCCCGCAAGCCGTAGTTTAACCATTGATTTTCATCTTATGAAAGAAAGCTTAGATTGCTTTTTCTCTAATACAAGGCTCTTCATACTAGGAAATGAACTTCGGTGAAATGTCTTTAACTGTGACCTCATCAGTCAAGAAGGCAGGAAGATGGTTTGATTCTGCAATCAAGCTGAGTGCCATTATAGATCTCCAGGAGTATAATCTGAAAGAATTATTCCATTCACAATCCAGCTCTAAGGATTGTCCCTGTAAACCAGCAGGCCATATTCAGACATAAAAAGGGCAGAAGATCCTTTGCAACCCTCCTCAGACAGAGACTCTTTGCGTCTCTGGCTAAAGCTAACAGTTTCTGTGCCAGTGTTCTCTACTTGTATGAAGTTCAGTTCAAAATGGAGCCAACTAAGATGGCCATTATTGCATCAGAAAGCGTTATTCCAACCAGTGCAGTGAATGACACCATCATGCCAAGTATGGACTACACTATTCTGGCAGTTATTATTGGTTTCTTCTCAGTTTTTGGCATCATATTGAGCATGAATGTAATTGTGGTGACGTTGAAGCACAGGCAGCTACGGCAGCCACTGAAATTCGCCCTGGTCAACCTAGCTGTGGCTGATCTTGGTTGTGCGACATTTGGTGGGCTACCAACCATGGCGACCAATGCCATGGGGTACTTCAGCTTGGGCAGGGTGGGATGTGTGCTAGAAGGTTTTGCCGTGGCCTTCTTTGGTGAGTATCTATTTTGAACCTTTTTTATCTCTGTTTTATTTAATTTGATTGACCATGGATGACGATTACAGATGGTTAAATAGTTAGATGGATATTATTATCTACATTTGCAATTATATTTTTCCCCCTGCTGTCTACCTCCATGATCAGAATATACCTGTGATCCATATTTGAGTCAGCTCTGACCAGTTCAGGACCACTGATCTTCATATAGGGGTACTCTTCTCTTAAAAAACAGCTATCGCTGGTCTGTGCTCAGTTGCGATAATTGCAGTTGAACGATGCATGGTGGTCTGCAGACCAGTGGGTTCAGTCACCTTCCAGACGAGACATGCAGTTGCAGGAGCTGTCATCGCCTGGGTCTGGTCGTTCCTGTGGAACACTCCATCGCTTTTTGGATGGGGTAGCTATGAGCTGGAGGGTGTGCAGACATCTTGTGCACCAGACTGGTACAGCAGAAATTTGGCCAACGTCTCCTACATCATGTGTTACTTTCTTCTGTGCTTTGCACTGCCTTTCTCTGTCATTGTCATCTCCTACACTCGCCTCCTGTGGACCCTACTCAGGAAAGCTACAAAGGACTAGGGAAGATTTCATGCTGATAGAGCAGTAGTAGAGGACGTATTTTTAATTTTACATACTTGTATTTGCCTCTATCTGAAATTGTGTATTATGGGATCAGGGATCATTTCTCATGATTAACTAGTTGCTTATTAGCATGCATATTGCTAGCATATTGGCTGTTTATTCGTATTTATAAAGCACATATTAATGCCTTATTCTGCATGGCTATATTTTAGACCTTAAAACAGCACCCTCCACATACTGCTCCAATGAGCCCGCTCCCTTTGTTCTACCCCTGCTTCCCCGAGTCAATCCAAGATCTGTTCCAGCCCTCAGCCCAGAAAAAGAGGCACCAGCTCTCCCTCCAGAGTCCACTCCAGCATGCCTCTCTGCGCTCCTGGATATGGCGTTACCCTCAGAGTTCTCGGCTCCTATCCTCTCGCCTGAGTCCACTCCAGACAGCTCTCCTTCGTCTCCTGGGTCTCCTTCGCCTCCGCTGGTCCCGTCCAGCCCTCCTTCGTCTCCTGAGTCTCCTTCGCCTCCGCTGGTCCCATCCAGCCCTCCTTCGTCTCCTGAGCCCCCTGTGTTAGCCAGCTCTGCTCCTCCAGAGCACTCTCCAGTGCCCACTCCTCCAGAGCACTCTCTAGAGCCCGCTCCTCCAGAACACCCTCCAGTGCCCGCTCCTCCCAAGTGCCCTCCAGAGCCCACTCCTCCAGAGCACTCTCGAGTGCCCGCTCCTCCAGAGCACTCTCTAGAGCCCGCTCCTCCCAAGTGCCCTCCAGAGCCCACTCCTCCAGAGCACCATCCAGTGCCCGCTCCTCCCGAGCATCCTCCAGTGCCCGCTCCTGCAGAGCGCCCCCCAGAGCCCGCTCCACCAGAGCGCCCTCTAAAATCCCTCCGGGCATTGAAGGACATAGTTTTCCCCACTGAGTTCCCTGCTCCGCCATGGCTCCCTAGTCTGCCTGTTCCGCCATGGCCTCCTAAACTCCCTGTTCCACCCTGGAGGCCTTCCTTGTCTCCGCCCTGTTCCTGCCCTGCACCAGCCTCCAGGGCGCCCGCCCCCCTCCCCGTTGGAACTGTTACGGCCTTATGGGGGGCGATATGTGATGTTTATGTTCTGTGTTTCTGTTCTCCCTGCCTGGACCTAGTTTTCCTGTGTTGCTTGATTAGTTAATTAGTTTCCACCTGTGTTCATTAATCATCTTATTTGTCCATCATTTGGTTTAGTATTTATAGCCCTGCCTTTCCTCAGCTTCTCTGTCCTGTCACTGTCGTGTAAGGAGGTTGTTTTCTCTTACTTTCCCATGTGGATTTATTAAAGACTCTGTTTGTTTGACTATCTGCCTCCTTCGTACTCCTTCAAGCTCCTTTCCCGAACAACCCGTGACAGCCACAGTCTTATAGAGTTTAGTTGAAGTAAAAAAATCTCACCCTTCAACCACCGATCATTAAAAGGAAATTTTAAACTTTAAAAGCATTAACAAATTACTTTCAACATACCATGAATGACTCCTGAAGATCCTCCTTCTGTCAGCAGCAATATTACGGATGTGTCAATTATCATTATAGTAATATACTGTATGTCTATATTTCGTAACAATTACATTTTACAGCATCCATGTGAAAACAAACTTAGAAAGAGAGATGAAAGATTCTTAGTGCATTCCAGGCAATTGTCAATGGTTTATGTTGTAAATTAATGAAAATGTATGACCCATTCAGTCAAAATGACGGAGAAGGATTATTTGTAGTTTAATCTTCTGATTTGAAATGAATTGTTGCAGTCTTTTTAAATAAAACTTCCCCAACAAGAAGTGCCTCCCATTGTTTAAAAGACAGTAGGCTTGTTAGGAGTGAAGTGGATACAGTTCCCTAAAAAAAGGTATCTATGTTTTGCTATATAATAAGCAGAGAATGCTATTTAATATTTTTCAACTTCAGTTTTTAAGTAAACTTTTGATTTTTAACTGTTATGTCTCTGGATTCAGGAGGTTCGCATGTTTGTTTCACCTACAGGTGACCAAACTGAAAATGTCAGAGGGAGGAAGCACTGCCAGGGCAGAGACCCAGGTGGCCTGTATGGTGGTTGTCATGGTGATGGCCTTCCTGCTCATCTGGCTGCCCTATGCCGCATTTGCACTGTCTGTGATCTTAGACCCGAACCTTTACATTGACCCGGTGATCGCCACCGTTCCCGTGTATCTGGCCAAGAGCAGCACAGTTTTCAACCCCATAATCTATATATTCATGAACAGACAGGTGAGTCAGTACCTTCTAGAATGGTGGATTTCCAGTCCTGGTTTTGGGGAAACAAAACACTGCATATTCTCATTCAGATCATCAGCTTGTTTAGAGAGAGAAGTTCATGAGCTGAACTGAGCATATGAGACAAGAGATACATACAAAATGTGTGGTACCTTTGTCCCCGGGACCAACACCAACATCTTGTGTCTAAACATTTAGCAGGGTTTCATGATTATTAATATCAAATATTTGTGTGAAACATGAAAATGTCACATTGTGTACGATCTTAATTTAGATTTTTGAGTCAGATATGACCTGGATATTTCATTGTGAAAATCAATTACATTATTCACTTAAACAGTCACTGAGGATTCCTCAAAACTATGCTCAGTATTGCAATAAGCCTTAAAATATGATCAATGATTGATTGATATGACCCAAAACACTTTTTCTGTATCAGTTCAGAGAGCATGCTGTGCCGTTCCTACTCTGTGGCAGAAACCCGTGGGCCGCTGAGCCGGCAGAATCAGAGGAAGAGACCACAGCATCATCTGTCAGCAGGAGCAACAAGGTCTTTCCGTCATAACCACTTATATCACTTACTACACATGTATGAAGGATAAGCCCCTTTTAATTAATACAAAAAAATACTATAGTAAATACTGTAGTGTTTTTGAACCATACTATAGTAAAGTGTATTATACTGTATATATTATAGTATTTACAACACTTTTTAATGAATGCTACAGCATACTGTAGTATGCTATAGCATAACTATAGTGAACTGATAAACTGTAATAAATACTGTAGTATACTTTAGTTTTTACTACAGTAAACTGTAGTGTATTGTAGTATAATATACCCTATAGTTGTAGAACACTTAGTACAGTATTGGGTAAAGTAATTTGTTTATATAGTTGTTATATTACCACAGAAACTATAGAATTACCACAACAAATTAATTCAATTACTTTACTATAGTATGGTTCAACAACACTATAGTATTTACTATAAATTACTATAGTATTTTTTCATGTGGGATTCCCTGAATGTTTTCACTAAAATTGAACTCGTCTTGTCCATTACATGCTTGTGTCTGTTTTCCGTTTTCTGTCTGTTTTGATGAGCAAAAATCTCTACATTATTTAAATTGGTTGTATGCTGCATTCAGATGAATTGAAGTTAAATGAATGTGCTAATCCAGTTAGAACGCTGTGTAATCATATTGTAGATGATATTCCTGACTTTTCCTCCAGCATATGTGAAGCTTTGTGAGGGTCTGTGCACTCAGCTGTTTAAAGGGAGACTTGCTTATTAGCAGCATCTTTAGATGATGGACTGATTAATTCTGATTAATTAAAGCTTTTTTCCATAATGAAGCTAATATATATATATATATATTATTATTATTTTTTTTATTAAAATTACATGTAAATACATCTGATAATGTTCCTGTGGCTCAGTGGTAGAGCATTGTGTTAGTAGTGCAAAGGTCGTGGGTTCAATTCCCAGGGAACACATATACTGATAAAAAATGTATAGCCTGAATGCACTGTAAGTCGCTTTGGATAAAAGAGTCTGCTAAATGCATACATTTATTTATTTATTTATATATATATGTATACGTATATGTAACTGTAAGCTAACCGAGACTTACCTAGCTTAGCCTAGTTACTTACCTAGCACTTGCATTTTATTGTTCTTTTGTTGGTTTTGATTACTTTTATTGTCCTCATTTGTAAGTTGCTTTGGATAAAAGCATCTGCTAAATCAAATTAAATTGAATTAATTAAAATGTAGAATTTTAATTTAAATATGTAATCATGAATTGTGACAAAAAAAGAAAGGTTTACTAATCACAGTACAGTAAATTACAGAAGCCCTGAATCACAAAGTGAAGTGTATTAATACCTTGAGTTTATTTTTTTAAAAACAACTTTCTCTTTTTCTGTATTTTTTTCTCAGTAAAAAACATTTTCTCAAATAAATGAATGAATGAATTAATATCCTTTAACACATAATAAAAAAGCTAAATTAACGTGTTAAGTACCAAAACTGACCACCAGGTGCCACTGTCAGTATGCTGACACAGGCTAGGAACATGTTTTCTCGCATTGATTGTATCGTTACAGTGGCACCTGAACAGAGGTGGGATATATTAGGCAGCAAGTCCAGTCCAATCACACAGAAGAGCTACTGTAACACAAATCACAGAAAAACATAATGCTGGTCACATCGCAGGCCTGTCAAAGTGCCCCTTATGACCCCTGTCCACCACCGAAAGCACCTACAATGTTCACATGAGCATCAGAACTGGACCATGGAGCAATGGAAGAGGATTGCCTGGTCTGATGAATTATGTTTTCATTTAGATCAGATTACTGCAGAGCACATACACTATGGTTTACCCTGATGAAAGTGGCCTTTCTCAGCAGGATTATGCACCCTTCTACACTGCAAAAATTGTTCAGGAATAGTTTGAGGAACATGACAAAGAGTTCAAGGTGTTGCCTGGTTTTTATTTTCCTTAAACCTGAGTGAGCATCTATGGAACTGGGATATGCAGGACCAACAAATCCGATCCACTGAGCCACTAATCTTCACGTTCAGAGGTCTGGTAGAGTCCATGCCTCGATGCATGAGAGGAACTTAGACAATATAAGGCAGGTGGTTTTAATGTTGTGGCTGATCTGTGAGTGAGTGTGTGTGTGTGTGTGTGTGTGTACGAGTGTGTGTGTGTGTGTGTGTGTGTGTGTGTCTTGGTATCATGGGGAATAGTAATACCAGTAACAGGATAGTAATACCAGTAATGGTGACCTTGTAGGGACATTTTTTTAAAAACAGCTTATAAATCATACAGAATGAAGTTTTTTGAAAATCTAAAAATGCAGAAAGTTTTGAGTGAGGCGTAGGTTTATGGTAAGGGGATAGAAAATACAGTTTGTACAGTAGAAAAACTATTAATGGAATGAACCCATGAAACATGGAAACCAGAAACTACTGTCAATTTTTGAATTTCAAAAAAACACTGTTTAGCATGTTTTTTTTAAGCAATTTGGTTTACAAAGACACATTTGTGTCCTCATAAACTATATACAGAACCAGAACACACACACACATATCTCAAAATGGGTAATCTACTGCAACACATTATTAGTTCAGTTCCTCTTTCTTTTTTAGAACCAAAACTGCTTCTGAACGCAATCATTTAAGCCAGCAGGGAAATGTCTCAGAGATGTGGTCTGACTGTTTTCTTTTTCATTTTCATTTTTCATGTCCTTTAACAGGTGCAGATGTCTCACCACCCTCAACAGCTAATGTAGGCTACTGTCAGCTGCACATGGTTCGCTCTGCAGTCTCTTTATCTAAAACTGTGTCTTATTTCTTCTGCACTGTTAACTGTAAAGCAATGACAGGCCATTAATATTTTTAAGAGTTTTTTAGGCTATAAATATCTTCAAAACGGCAAAGAAATGCAGACATGAACAGTGTGTTTTTTTTTGTTTTTCTTTATGTCAGACAGTCTATACACGTATGAATATGCAATTTAGCTAACAAGACTAGGCTGATCACATACAGCTCGTGTTTTTGCGACTTCGCAGGAGTCTAGACCCTATGGTCTAGACATCAATATGATTGAAAATAAAAGCAAACTGCCAATACCAAATAAAATAAACAGCATCTCTTACAAAAGGTACAGTTTACAGCAACAGTCTTTTGCGAAATATGATGGTTTAGCTAGATTTGTTCTATGAATACGTTTAAATGGCCCTTCCTTAAATGTAAACAAACGTCACCACCAAGCATCAGTGCGCAGCGCCGGAAAAGGAGCCTAGTTTCCGGTTAAACAACATTGACGATGGTTTATGTATCAAACGGTAAGTGCTAAAAACAACTCTTATTTTGTTAAGAAAAATAATGTTATCTTCGCTGACAAACTTGCACCATTGTTATTATATAAAATAAATTGTCATACGTGACTAAATATGTAATTTAGCATCATTGTGTTCGTTTTACGCCAGCCAAGAGTTAATACATCCAGTATTACGGTGTTTTCTGTCACTCTGCCTAACATACATTTTGATATGAGACCTTATATTTGTATGAATTATCGATACGATCCGATCAGACCAACATTTGGTTGTGTTACAATGATAATATCCGGGTAAGGCAATATTGGTGAATACACAGCTCCTCCTGAATATTAATTAAATGAAGATGACGTTCTCGTAATCTTTCTGGGTCGTCAGTTTACATTTCACGAGTCAGTTTGTTGATCCGTAAATATACAACCTCTGCCTTTACGAACGTGATGTATTAAATATTCATAATAACGCCGTCGACATAGTAGGAGTCGTAATTTTGCAGCCTCGCGCAGTAGCGGGCATATCAACTGATCAACGCGTTGTTCGTACAGTATAAGTTACATGTTTTGTTTGGAGCTCATTTGGTGTGTTGTGTGATATTTATTTTCCTCTCTGTGTTCAGGTCAGGTTCTGGACAGCAGGACCCGGTCGCCGTGGAGCTTGTCTTTCCTGAGCGATCTCTTCTGGGGTGCCGTCGAGTTTATTGGCTTGTTGTAAGTTCAGTTTGTTTGCATGTGTGTGTTTTCTCTGGCCAGCTGGGACAGTAGCGTTAGTTTCAGTTTTTATATCGCCTTGCCAACATGCTCACTGATCTCACCATGATGAAATGAACGAGACAATACTAGATTTAGTAATTCATAATAACATATGTTGAAAATATATTTTCCACTAACGTGTATTTAGTTCTTTGCAAAAATGAAAAATCCTAACAAAAAGGAAATTGTGCAGCTAAAATGTAACTAAATTCATAAACACACCTTTGCTGGTAAACAATGGTTTAAAACATCACTGCCTGGTCTGTAGTTATCAATACGTTAACACCAATGCTTCCAAGAATCGCACAAGTCATTTTTGCCATTTTTATAAAACCTCTGCATACTAGATAATTAAGATCAGGTTCCAGACAGACTGTCAGTCTGTGTGTTAGTGGTGGGAATTGACTCTTTCCGCAGGCTAGTGGTGATACTGATACTGAACTTATATGGATTTTTAACAATACTGAATGTATATATAAAAAAAAAGGATCAGTAAGTATAAGACGAATGTGTTCATAAGAAATGAAGAGTAGTCAACCCTGTTGTAAATGAAATTTGATCATTTTGAAGTCATGATCAAACTGTATGTTCACTCAAGACCTACACGTATTGAAAGGTGAACAGTCATCATGTGATTTTCTTTAAAATAACCTTGAGCATATTTTACTGGACTGTCCTGCTTTTAATGTTATTAGGAAAACATTTTATTCAGAAATAAGGGTGAATAAGGAACTGGTAAGGATATACATAACTGTGTAAAATTGTATAATGTGTGTCAAATATTAAACTGAAAGGTTCTATACCGTTTATTTGTATAATGTTTTATTACAATTTCATATTTTTGCTGTAAACATAGCCGTTGATGCTGATATGGCATTAAAGGAATAGTTTGCCTAAATTGAAAATTTGCTGAAAATTTACTTACACACAGGCCATCCAAGATACAGATGAGTTTGTTTGTTTTTTTTCAAATGTTTAGCAAATATTATTTTATGAGTGAACTATTGCTTTAATAAATAAATGAATATATGCAAGTTACATCATTACGTCAGTAGGTGGTGATAAAATATTCAGAACAGACGCAATCCTACATGCCATTGCTTAAATATCTCACAGAAAACCAAACATACAGGTTTGCAAGGCCTTAAAGCAGGGAACCATTCTGTCAACTGGCCAGACGCTCTCTCACACGGATTTGAGGAATCATTCGTGTCTGGAGCAGAAGTGCTGCAGGACAACACACTCAACTTTAACGCATAAGCTGTGTCCGAAATCGCTCACTCGTTCACTAATCCCTATGTAGTGTATGGCAGTTCAGTGCACTATATCAGAAAGGAGTGAACGGATTCGGATGGTGATGTATATACTGTGCATCAGAGAGCTGCTGTCGCAGAAACATTTTCGTCACTTTTATATTACATGTACCTTATTTTAGAAAATAATATCAATAGCAATAACACTCAAAATGACTTTATAATTATACATACCTCCCGTCAGCTTTGTGGTTTCATCGATGGTATATTATTAATTTGTTTTGTAATGCTTTTATGTTCATAATCATTAAATACTAGTAAAATACTGACAACAAAAATAAACACACATTAACACATGTTCATAATTATATGTATTTATTATTTTTAGTATCTTGAAACTCTCCCGAGCAGCGTTTTGCGCTCAGATAAGATGACCGTAGAGCTCCCTCAGGCGACCGTTAATTTTACATCAGCATGAAGCATTTAAAAATGAAGCATTTTTAAATCATCCACCAAATTATCATAATTTTTGTAAGTTAACAACGATGCCACCTCAGTAAAATATTAAACTGCCTACATAAGATATTTTAATATAAATAATGTATGAAATAAATGTTAAAGCAGAAATAAGAAAGATGTAAACGGCATCTCTCCCGCTCTCTCTTCCAGCTCGTCGCCTCTCCGCATTAGATTGTGGGAACTAGTGCTTCAGCGAGTGTACATCGGTTATACACTCAAAATCAGAATGCATTGTGGGTAAAAAAGTAGTGAACGAATGAAGTAGTTCACTCAGAATTCGGACAGCACGACACAATGACTGACACCCGATAGAGTGCACTATATAGTGGACAGGGAGACAGCTTTAGTGTTAGAGGTCTGATCTCATCACTAGGAGCACTAGTACTAGTGATGATCGACCTGCCCGAGCTAACGATCTGTATAATGTCTCCACAGCTTCCAGTCTCTCGTTCAGCCAGATCTGTCTAAAGATGGACAGAGCAGTGCATCGTCTCGTTTCAGCGATGGCAGAGGGTACGTCTCAACCCTTCATCAGCAGAACCACTGCGTTTGTAGTCATGACGTGACCAGGTTCTGTGTGTTTACACTGTGATGTTCTTGCAGTCCTCCTGGATTCCCTGGGCGCAGACGGATGGGCAGAATAAACCACGGTGCGGGTCCCACCCCTCCTCCTATGGGCGGAGGAGGATGAGGAAGGTTAGTACGAGTGAAGAACCTGCAGAGCAACCTGACACAAACTTACTGAGAGGAGGTCATCAAGAATAACTATATGTTTGTGTTTTGCAGGTAAACGCCTGCACAGCGATGCAGGCGCACAGGGGTGTGACACGCTGGTTTTAGCTGCATACTGCTCAGATAGGGCTCCGTTGCAGACGATCACTCAGTACGTCACACTCCTCTTCCTACGGCTGCTGCTGCTGTCACGCAGTTTCTTGACGTTACTCTGGGAATTCCTTGTCTGAGGGGCCAGAGGGACTGATCATGGCAGCCAAACCCCAGCCGCCATCATAGAAAAGCCAACACACACACACACACATACACGTTACATAACTTATCTCTCTCTCTCTCTTTTTTTAGTAATATCTTCCGAAAGCAATGTTGTAGTGGATGTTGTATGTACCCTTTGCATCAATAAAGTAAGTTATAATGATGATCCTTTGTTCTGTCCAGACTCGTGGCTATTATTACTTGTAACAGGGTATCTACAGTCAAGAAAATCTGGAAAGATTTTTAGCCAGCAATTACATTAATTGCATACAGCACAGTAAATTCTGTCTTCAGGTTATTAAATAATACTAAATATTAATTAATTGAATGAATATTCAATTATTAATTAAATTAATATTATTCACTCTATGAGCAAAACTATTGAGAGACCTGGGCTGTGTTTTCCAAAAGCATCGTAACCCTAAGTAGATCGTAGAACCATTGCCACCAATGGTCTCTACGATCCACTTATGCTTTTGAGAAACGCAGTCCTGACTATTATGCAAACAGGGATTTAAATGATGTTGCAATCTAAATACATAGACATTATTATTACGGTGTTGTTCCCCTCTTTGCAACTACAGTATAACAGCTTCTGGGAAGGCTTTCCACACGTTTTGGGGCAAATTTTTTGCCCATTCATTCACTAGACTAGAGTATTTGTGAGGTCAGGCTGACAATCTGAGTTCCAGTTCATCCAGAAGGTGGATGAATTATATAATAGATATATCAGATATATTAGGGGTATGCGATATTGACAAAAAAATATATCTTAATATTTTCTGGGATTTTATTGATAACGATAATTAGATGATATTTTGCTGAGTGTGTTATTGTGCTGATATCTTAAGGACTGCCGTGGACAGCTGACTCCTAAAATTTTTGATATTCTTCATATTCTGTGTGGTGATCAGTTCACAGCAGTGATAGAAATTAATATTTTCCAATAAGTTTAAATAGATTTTTACCTTTTAAATGAAATCAGAATTGACAAAATCCATCTTTGCAATGCAGAGAAAACACAGAAGTTGCACTAGAAGTGGCATTTAGATGCATTTACACACTGCTTAATGCAGGACATGAATGTATTTAACCTGCAGTTACAAATGCATTCATACTGTTTTGATATTTTAAACATAAAACGTTGAATACTGATATTTGAAATAAAAAAAATAAAAAAAATGAAAATATACTTTAAATGTGAAATTAAAACCGCCAGTAGGTGGCAGCAAGTCACTGTTAATAAGTGAGTCGTTGTGACTGAACCGAATCATTTAAACGGTTGATTCATTCAGGCACCAAAATCGACTCCTGCGGAACGCCACATACTAAAGGAGCCAATGTGGAAGAAAAGGCCCCTATGTGCACTGCAACCGTCCCGTCCTTTAAATATGATGCAAACCACTGAAGGGATGTGCCCTGGACACCAACCCAACACTCCAAGCAATTAAGAAGAATCTTATGGTCATATCAAAAGCTATAATCGAAGATCTAACAAAACTAAATCAACATGTGATCCTGAATCCAAAGATAACAAAATATCATTATTAACCTTAAGTAGTGCAGATTTGGTGTCATGGAAGGACCTAAAGCCCAACTGGAATGTATCTAAAATACCAAAAGTATTCAAATATGAAAAGAGTTAAGAGAAAAGTGAGAAGCTGTGGGTTTTGTAATGAACAAATCCATCAAGATGTTTTTGGCTTGGCTTCTAGCTCAAATACAAGTCCTTTATCCATGATATTGCTTTCTCCAGTGAAAAAGTTGTCTTGTCTGAATCAGGAAAGAAATATGCACAGATCAAGCATCTCACATCTGTGTCGATGAAGAAAACTCATCTACATCTTGGATGGCCTGAGAGTACACTTTCAGCAAATTTAAATTTTTGAATGAACTATTCCTTAAAGGTGCAATTCATAGCTTTCAGTCACGTGACCGGCTCGAAGACCTGGAGGGCAACGTGAAACTTTGCACGTTGCGTTTATATTCTGGCTTCATCTGCTTGCCTGTACAAAATATACATCATCAATAAGGTGTTTCTGAATTTCGCCTTTTAATATCTGTGTTTTACTACATTACTACTTAACTGGCGTTCAGTGGAGCAAAGCTTCGTTGTGCTCTCCAGGTGGGCGTTCCTACAAGTGTGTGAAGTCATGTGAAAACTACTCAGAAACATTTTTTGTTATGCTGGTTGAAAGTCTCTTCGCATCCCGATAGCAATCATTAAGTTAAGTGGTCTAAATGTATTTATCTGTATTTATATATTCTGTGGAAAGCGTAGGACCAAGAAATGTTGGTCTTTCCTACCTGCCTGTCAACATATGTATTAGCATACCTCTGCGCACCCAATTTGCGCAGACAGGATATGTCATCAGAGCGTTCATGCACGCTGTGCAGACAGAGCGAGGATAGCAGGCAAACATCAACAACCCGATCTTCCTTCCTGGTATTGTAGTACTTTTACTAACTGTACTATAAAGTTTTCTCACTGGTTAATGACATATGATGTATTGTAGTAATGTTGTCTCTGGTCGTCTGATCTGTTCGCGGTCATGCGTTCAGGGGGCGTGGCTTACTACTGCACCTTTAATACAGCACAAAGCAATAAACTATTATTAACAGCAATATAAGTGATAGTTTATAAATCATAATAGATTTTCATTTTATTGTTAATGTGGTTTAGATACACACAGTAAGTTTGGGCATGTAAACGGCTCGACTGTAGTTGTGGACTGTGCCTCTGTTTCTTGGTGTAACGTTACATAGTTAACTCGCTCTCAAAATGCGGTTGTGACTCCTGTAAATTTCAGTCACATGACACGTCCAGTCGGTGGCGCTAATATTATTTATGAAGAGTCAACTTCCATTAGACGGACATGTTTTACACTCCAGCCCTGTAGGTGGCGGGACTGTACCTAAAGCTGGTCTGCCATCCGCCATTAGACTGAGAGAAATAGTTGCTTTAAACAGTCTCATGCATCAAGCAGTGTGTGGATAAATGTACTCTTAATTCATTTAACTAATCAGCATCAGCATCATGACACAAACAGACAGAGACGCGGAGAACGGAAGAGACAGAGAGAAAGAGCAGCGCGGAGTGAAGAGACCCATAGTTCCCGCTGCTGTACCAGAGCCATCGATAGCAATCATTAAGTTAAGTGGTCTAAATGTATTTATCTGTATTTATATATTCTGTGGAAAGCGTAGGACCAAGAAATGTTGGTCTTTCCTACCTGCCTGTCAACATATGTATCTGCATACGCATACCTCTGCAACCGGTTCCCGCAGACACGATACGTCATCAGCGCATTCACATACGCTGTGCAGGCAAACATCAACAACCTGATCTTCCTTCCTGGTATTGTAGTACTTTTACTAACTGTACTATAAATTTTCTCACTGGTTAATGACATATGATGTATTGTAGTAATGTTGTCTCTGGTCGTCTGATCTGTTCGCGGTCATGCGTTCAGGGGGCGTGGCTTACTACTGCACCTTTAATACAGCACAAAGCAATAAACTATTATTAACAGCAATATAAGTGATAGTTTATAAATCATAATAGATTTTCATTTTATTGTTAATGTGGTTTAGATACACACAGTAAGTTTGGGCATGTAAACGGCTCGACTGTAGTTGTGGACTGTGCCTCTGTTTCTTGGTGTAACGTTACATAGTTAACTCGCTCTCAAAATGCGGTTGTGACTCCTGTAAATTTCAGTCACATGACACGTCCAGTCGGTGGCGCTAATATTATTTATGAAGAGTCAACTTCCATTAGACGGACATGTTTTACACTCCAGCCCTGTAGGTGGCGGGACTGTACCTAAAGCTGGTCTGCCATCCGCCATTAGACTGAGAGAAATAGTTGCTTTAAACAGTCTCATGCATCAAGCAGTGTGTGGATAAATGTACTCTTAATTCATTTAACTAATCAGCATCAGCATCATGACACAAACAGACAGAGACGCGGAGAACGGAAGAGACAGAGAGAAAGAGCAGCGCGGAGTGAAGAGACCCATAGTTCCCGCTGCTGTACCAGAGCCATTACAGGAGGTGACTATTACATTATTCATAATCAGATCATAAATAGAAGTGAAAAAGACAAAAATCTGAATTGCACCCCTTACAATAACCGCAAGACTCGATGCTTTCAAGAAGTGACAATATCAGAATAGTTATTATTATTTATGTATTATATTATAATAATACAATTAATAATAAGTATTTCGTTTATAATAAGCATTAATTTGATATTAATAAGAATTAATTATATTTACTAAGAGCAATTTTCTTCTAGTAACAGTTGTTTTTCATGTCTATTTAATAATGGTCGTAACTGTTTTGCATCTCCTACGTATGAAAACACGTTCTTGTTTGCTTCTCAAAATCTGGAATGTATTTCAAAATCTGATTTATACTGTAAAAATCTGAAATAGTGTCTCATTTTTGTAGCAAGAGATGTGCACATCAAAGTTTGGTTTTGGTGCTGACAATTTTTTACTGAAACCTCTGTGTAAATAAGTCTTACTACTGGATAATGTCTCAGATTATACTAATCCACTTTACTTAATAGTTACTAGTGAACTCTTATTAGTAAAATAAAAAATTGGAATAGATAGTCAGAAGCACCTCATAATTCAAAGAAACGCACCCTAGTTTAATATTTGGTTACACTTTACTTGAAGGGGTGTGCATAAGACTGACAGATCTAGATAGCACACGTATGTCTGCAAGATGTCTGTTAAAGATCACTTGATCTGGAAAGCATCTGCTGTGTACAAACGTCTGACAGACGTCTTTCCGATGTCCGTTTTACATTATTTCTAAATCATAAACATTAGGGTTGCTCCGATCAGGATTTTTGAGGCCGATCACAGAGATTCAAGATTCTTTTATTGTCACTATACTAAAAGTACAGCGAAATTAGAGAAATCCGTACAGTGCAATCACACATAAATTAGTGCATGCTAAACATCTAATTTAATTGGAAAACAAACAGTAACAGCAAAGCGAAGAGTCAGATATTGCTCAGAAATATTGCACGGTGAGCAGAAAGTACTGCATGATATTGCGCACAATAAAAGAGAGTTAAATGCAACAGAATATACACACAAACACAAACTGAATCATATAAGATGTAAACTTATACTAAATAGACTCACACAGAGGTATACAGAGGGTGTTGTTAACCTGTGTCGGTTGAGATATAAGATGCCCCATCAGATTGGTGCATTTCTCATTTTTTATGTGTGTGTGTGTGTATGCTGACAGCGTTCAGCTCCCGTATAGCACTGGGGTAAAAGCTGTTCTTAAGTCTTATTGGTCTGTGATTTGATTGGACCTAAAACGTTTACCAGAGGGCAGCAATTCAAACAAATTATGTCCTGGATGGAAGGGATCCTTTAAAATGTTCGCTGCCCTTCCAAGGCAGCCTGCAGTGTAAAGTTCTTTTAAGGAAGGCAGAGGACAGCCAATGATTTTTTGTGCCGAATCGATCACCCACTGGAGAGCTTTCTTGTCTGCCGCTTAGCTGCTGGCGTACCACGTGGAGATGCTGTAAGTTATCACACTTTCAATGGCACAGCGATAGAAGGACTCTAGCAGCTGCTCTTGTAGACGGTTGTTCCTCAGTGTCCTCAAGAAATAGAGTCGCTGCTGTGCTTTTTTTGACCGCTGCTGAAGTGTTTGTGCTCCAGGAAAGGTCCTCAGCGATGTTCATGCCCAAGAATCTGACGGCCGGAACCCTCTCCACGCAGACCCCGCTGATGTGCAATGGTGTAAGGTTTGTGTTGTGCTTTCAAGTCAACGATGAGCTCTTTGGTTTTAGGAGCATTCAGAGCCAGGTTATTTGCCATGCACCATTCTGTCAGTCTCTGAATTTCATCTCTGTAAGCCGTTTCATGTCCTCCTGAGTTGAGTCCAACTACGGTCGTGTCATCTGCGAATTTGATGATAGTGTTGGTAGGATGGGTTGAAGTACAGTCATAAGTATAAAGGACATAGAGAAGTGGGCTCAGCACGCAGCCCTGTGGGACACCTGTACTCAGAGTTAAGGTGGAGGAGAAATGGGAGCCTAACCTAACCGTCTGAGGGTGGTTAGTCAGGAAGTCCTTAATCCAGTGACAGATAGATGGAGAGAGACCTAAGTCCAGCAGTTTAGCTACCAACCTGTCGGGGAGGACTGTGTTGGAACGCTGAACTGTAGTCAGTAAAAAGCATCCTCACATAGCTGCCTTGGTGTTCCAGGTAGAGCAATGCAGACGGTGCTGCATATCATGCCAAACCTGAGCTTGAGATCGTTTTTTGAGATCAGCTTTTATAGAGACCGTCGATCAAACATCCCAAAGCGATTATCGGCCGATAGTGATCGGTAGCCGATCAATCGGAGCACCTCTAATAAACATCTTAAAGACATCAAATATATGTCTATTTGACATCTGATAGGAAACATCCAATAGACGTATTGCAGATGAGCAAACACTCAAAAAACAGTCTTGCAGATGTAAATGCAGACATCAAGTAGACGTCTCCGTGATGTACGTGTGCTATCAGGGGAGTATGTTTTTTTTTCTGAAACGTTGATTGTCACTTTCAGCAAATTCAAGCCAACTTCATTGTCGTGATTCATCCCGGATCAAAATCTCTGCGGATAGGCCGGGCTACAGACACCCTCCCCCTAAGCGTTCCTCAGGTCATCGCCCGCAGACACAAACAGCCCGGTCAGCGCCGCTACGAGGATCAGTGCCTCTTACGAGAAGGACTGAATGCAAGTAACTTCACTGCCTCTCCATAATGTGATGCTAAATATTACGCACAGGAATAAATTATATTTTAAAATATATTCAAATAGAAAACAGTTATTTTAAATAGTTAAGAGTATTTCAAAATGTTACAGTTTTTGCTGTACTTTGGATGAAATAAATGCAGGCTTGGTGAGCAGAAGAGATTTCTTTAAAAAACATTAAAAAGTTCAAAAACTTTTGACTGGTAGTGTACATCAGTGGTTGATTGAACTGTATATTTTCCCTCATCTGCTGTTTACGAGGATCAGTGCCTCTTACGAGAAGGACTGAATGCAAGTAACTTCACTGCCTCTCCATAATGTGATGCTAAATATTACGATGGTCTCTTCTGCTCACCAAAGCTACATTTATTTGATCCAAAATACAGCAAAATTCACATTGTGAAATATTTTTACTATTTAAAATAATTGCTTTCAATTTTGATGTTTTTGTTTTGTTTTATGTTTTATTCCTGTGATGTAAATCTGAATTTTTAGCATCATTACTCCAGTCTTCAGTGTCACATGATCTTCAGAAAAGTAGGAGAAGAGGTGAGACAAGAACCTGTCATAAACGCCCTGAAAATAATCAAAACTCTTGCTTTCTCAAATGTGTCATCTTCTTACGGAATGGCTAATAATGAATTCAATCGTACAATTGTAAAATGAAAACAAATAAGCACCCTTAAAACTGCTTAATTTGGCATCTTTATTCTTTTTGTCTGGATGTTTCAGGAGCAACTATATGAGATGTTTTCTTCAAATAGATATCATATCACAGTTAAACTCAGGAATACTTAAAATAATATATGACACAATTATCACAGTGTCATTTTTGATCCAATTGTTTCCTTGCTTTAAATAATTTTTTATTACAAAAACTCATTTTTTTGTGAACGTTGTGTGTATTATCTAAAAATCATCTTTATCTTTCATTCTTTTTTTAATAGGCGTACACATGCCATAATTTTATTGAAAGGTAAAAGATCATAATTTAAAGGTAAAATTCAAAAGGTCAAAAATGGAAATTCTCCATTGGGGTTATTTCAAACCCATGAGATTTCCATTCATCTTTGATATACAAATGAGGGTGTTTTTAATGACAGCTGAGAGATTTCAGTCCCTCCATTATTAGTCCACGCAACCAAAACTAAAATCAAGCTTGAGTTCATGAAGAGCTTGTTAAAGAAATCCATATGCATCGAGCGGCTTAATCCAAGACCTAGCAGATTTAATTTATATAGAAACACTGGTCAATGCACAAACACAAAACACATCAAACATGGTAAACAGAAGCTCAGCCGTGCCTGCTGGACATGCGATAACAGTCCTCTCTCCGTCTCTGGTGATCAGGCGTTGTATGTGAACCCTGCAGACTGCTACAGCATCCACTGGCCCGTCTGCAGGGGACACCTGAACATCCACAGCGGGCCGGGCGGCTCTCTCACCGCTGCGCTGGCGGACCTGGAGACCATCTGGTCTCACGCTCTACAGAAACTTCTAGAAATCCCGCTGAAGGATCTGAAGGTACTGATCTGGTTTCATTTCACTGGCACGTGGGTTTGAATGATTTGACAACTTTGTTTTGTTTTATGTTTTTTAGTATTACAGATGCATCCTTCTGATCCCAGACATCTGTAACAGGCAGCACGTGAAGGAAGTTGTCAACATGCTGCTGGTTAAAATGGGCTTCTCAGGTATGTCACTAAAACCATGTGCACCTGCTGGCGAGACAGTTGTCATGTACACCTCATATTCCTGACCAGTTGTGATGGAATTTTTACCATGTAATGTTCTGTTGCTTTCAGAAATTGTTCATGATCACACTTGTAGGATCCCTGTTGACTAGTCCAGTGCTTCTGAAAGTTAGGGAGCTGGACTAGACATCAGAAAGCATTCTGGTTCAGTGAAATGAGAATCAGTTGTGGTGTTTAGTCAGTGGTAGTTCATTTAAGCTCTCATTCAGCACTGAAGCACACACACACACACACATTTTAATTGTTCTAGGGATGCCACGGTGAGAATTTTTTCCCACCAATTAATAAACTTGTGACAACAACAGAGTTTCCGATTAAACTGCATATTTTACAATATAAGATATTTGTCAGTGATGCTTGGATCTGTAGAGCTTACTTTGATCTTGAACATTAGATCTTTATATCTTGATCAAATCAAATGTTTGAAAATGGTGGGATCATTATTATTCTTAATGAAAAACACAACCACAATAAAATACGTAGTACAATGACAAACTCGCATATACTAAACATAGAACTTTTATTAACCAAAGACAGGTGACATGCGGACTAAAATAGATATGTTTCGACCACAAATTAAGAAAAATCATTTACGACCTAATTCATTTCATTGTCTTATTCAATCGTAGCCACACTGTACTTATTCATTCTCTTGTTTTGGTTCAATTAAAATTCTTAATTTACAGCCGCAATTGAATGTTTAAAGAGAAAACAAAATAGTAAATCGTTGAAACATTCTTAATTCGTGGCATGGAGATATATATATATATATATATATATTCCGCATGTCACGTGTGAGGTTCTGTATATAACCATGTTGCAACAGAAATAAATGAAAGATCTTTGGATTTTCCCTTTATTTTAAAAGGGATGCTTAGTTTGTGGTGTATTATTATTTTGGCCACACTTTAATTTAACTATTAACTACAAACTTTGCCTCAATAAACTCCTAATTTGCTGCTAATTAATAGTTAGTAAGGTAGTTGTTAAGTTTAGGTATGGGGTGGGATTAAGGGAACTAAAATAATGTCAAGCAGAATAAGGCATTAATATGTGTTAATAAGTACTAATAAACAGCCCGTTTGCTAGTAATATGCATGCTAATAAGTAACTAGTTAATAGTGGGAATTGGTCCCTAAACTAATGTTTATTTTTTATTTTTATGAAAACACAACAACAATAAAACAAAGATAAACTTACATTAAACATAGACATATTGCAGGGTTCCCGTGGGGTCCTTAAAAATTTATCAAAAAGTCTTAAATTGTACAAGAAAGTCTTAATTATGATTTCAAGAGGTCTTCAATTTGGGGACAGAAAGACCAGAGTTGTTTACAGTTGTTTTACAGTTTAATATGTTACTATAGACATTGCCCTACTCTGCTCATATGCTATTAATTTTATTTGTGCGGGTAAAAAGTCTTAAAGGGTTAGTTCACCCAAAAATGAAAATTAGGCTGTGTTTTAACCCCTGTGCTTCCCCGTGCGTCACTTCTGAGCGGCGCATGCGCAACGCTGAAATCCTACGTCATCCTCCCGGAACTGTTTCCGTTTACAACAGTGAGCGCAAGCTACATTAAAGTGATTATTACGTTTTGAATATGGATATTTTTCTTACAAAAATGCATCGATTCGCTACAGAAGGCCTTTGTTCACCCCCCCCGGAGCCGTGTGAGACACTTTTTTTTAATGGATGGGCGCTTTTTATTTAACTTCTTTTGGACTGATGCATGCAACACCCGCTGAGTGGCATTAAACAGCTTGAAAGATCAAAGACTATTTTTAATATAACTCCGACTGGATTCGTCTGAAAGAAGAAAGTCATATACACCTAGGATGCCTCGGGTGTGAGTAAAACACAGCCTAATTTTCATTTTTGGGTGAACTAACCCTTTAAATTTGAACTGTTTTTAGATTTTTAGATTTGAGTGTTTTTAGATCAGATTCTTCGCCATCGTCTTGTGAGTCATCGCTCCTAACTCTATGATACATGATAGGGAACTACATAGTTTTTTAAAAGGCAAAACACTGGTGTGCGAAAGTCATGAAATGGGTGTAAGGTCCAACACTGTAACCCAGCCTAACTTGATCTCCTCTGTAGCTGTGGTGGTGCATCAGGAGTCGGTGTGTGTGACCTTTGGCAGCGGTCTGAGCAGTGCGTGTGTGGTGGATGTTGGCGACCAGAAGACCAGCGTGTGCTGCGTCGAGGACGGCGTGTCCCACCGCAGCTCCAGGTGAGAGAAACACACTGTAGGGCTGATGCGCTTTATTATACACGCTATGTTAAAGGGTTTCGTATTTTCTGAAGACAATGCTTCCTGTGTAAAACTCAAACATTTCATACAGTTGATTGATGAAAAATATGAGGCAGTGTAACAACTCACTGCGTGATGGAGCCTAGAGAACGTAGTTACAATGTCCCTAAAATTCAAGATATGGGGCAAAAATGCCCCTGTTTGACTTTTTGTCTCATATTTACATCATATAGTTAAGCAATATCACACGAGCAATAGGCTAAGTGCAATATCACATGAGTGCAAATGTGATACTGATCTTATACAACAGTTCAGTAAGTAAGAAGTTAATATTGTGTTATTTTAGACACAATGTTGTCTGTTTTGCTCAATTTTGCCAACGAAAATATAAAGACAAAGCAGAACTGTTCGTCTCTGAGCAACACACAGCGGCATTTCATTTCTTAATGCACGTTTTGAACGAATTGGGTGAACCATTAGGCTCGTTGGATATGAAGCGGCACTGCACAGACCAATCTACGGTTTTATCCTGATTAAAGCTTTAATACAGCACAGCAACCGCGTGCATGTCCATGTTTAACGCTTCTCATAGCTATGTGAAAAATATCTGTCTGTCTTTACACATAAAGTGTACAATTGGATTTGGAGCACAGTTTATTGTAGCTGACGAGCTGATGATCTGAATGAGAGAGAGATGCAGAGCATGGGATGCCAGGAACAGTATTGAGCACCGCTGCTTTAGAACATTGATTTTTAAACTTGTGAATCCATTAGCATTGTTAGAAGACAGAAACGCGATTCATTAATAGATTTTTTTCACCCGTGCACCCCTAGTTTTGACGGCATGGCAACAACTCTTCCTCTTCTCTAAAGCAGCGCAGCATGGCCTCGCCTCCTTTGTTGCATGTTCCCGGGGGCGGGGTTTAATTAAATTTCTAAATTTCGGGAATTAACTCGTTGTAGTCCCTACCAGCCGTTTTTGTAGGCATTAAACTGCCATAATTTTAAAAGACATCTCCGGATATCTCCGTTTGCATTGAACTTTCAGCATCGTAACTTTGCAGATATTGTTTATGCTCAAACAGCAACATTACACACTAACTAATGTTAAAAAAGTGAAATCGCAATCAACCACCCTTTAATCCACGTTTTGAATGAATTGGGTGAACCATTAGGCACGTTGAACCATTGGCCATAGGCGCGTTGGATTTGAAGCGGCGCTGCACATCGGTGTATGACATCAAAGTAACACGAGAGCGATTCAAAAGCATGAGTCATCTGCTCTCTATAGCTCTTGCGGTACTTTGATGTCACACACCGATCGATCTGATGCTGATGATCCGCTTCAAGTCGAACAAGCCTAATGATTCAATGGACCATTCGTAAAGAACCATTTACTTCACTCCTGAATGAATCAGCCATTTGAACGAATCAAGTGAATGAATAAATGACTCGATGACTTAATCATTAAGACATTTACCACCACCTACTGGCAGTTTTAGTCTATTATTTAGAGTATCATTTCATTAAAGAAATCATTTCATATTTCCATAGTAATAATAATACAATTAATAAAATATATTATTAAAGGTATAGTTCACCCACCTAAAAATGACAATTGTGTCATAATTTACTCACCCTCATGGTCCAAAAGAGTATATGTAATAAATTTGATCAAACAAAATATTTCTTGCCGAAGCTACTTTTTGTAATGTCTGTTTGATGCTTTACACGACAACAATGACTTTAAATTATCTTTTGGAAGTAATTTCTCAGCCAAATTTGATGTGCATTTAATTAGATTTTAAATTTTAATCGCTTACCAGCCCTAATATATATATATATATATATACTGTATATATATACTGTATATAGTACACACACATACACACACACACACACGTGTATATTTGTGTATATGTGTGTGTGTATATATATATATATATATATATTTGTGTGTGTATATGTACTGTATATATATGCATATGTGTATGTATGTGTGTATATATATATATATATATGTCCCTTATTTTTCTATGAAAAACCATGATTGTCCTGTATTTTCCTTTTTCTGAAGTTGGCAAACCTGTGTAACGCTCTCATGATCTCTTACTGATCAGTACAGTAAACACAATCAAGAATACTTTGAGCTCTTGTGCCATCTCTGTTGAATGCATGTGTATTTTTGTGCAGGTTGTGTCTTGCGTACGGAGGCTCGGATGTGACGCGGTGTTTTTTCTGGCTCATGCAGAGAGCTGGATTTCCCTATAGAGAATGTCAACTCAGCAGCAAACTGGACTGTATGTTACTGCAGCAGCTCAAAGAGTCCTTCTGCCATCTGGATCAGGTGACCTCCGCGCACATGGAGCTAAACAAATTAATCAGCCGTTTGTCAGTATTCACTAGGGCTGGGTGGTATGACGGTGTATATCGTTACAGCGGAATAAAGTGTCTATCGTTAGAGATTTTGTTGAATCGTGTATTCCGCGGTATGCAAAAATATCTGCGTAACATAATATTACTTAAAAGTTATATACACCTTTGAGTAAGGAAACATGCATGAATGAGAAAATAAAGAGTGGGACGCTCTTGATAGAGTTATTAAGCGCAATAAGCAGAGAAAAAGAACTCAATGCAGTGTTTGCGCCGACTGACACACAGCTGAAGCGCGCGCACTGAGAGCCCCTCTCTCTTTAGTGTTTTGTTGTGCTTGAATGGTCAAATACGCACACAATTATGTCAAAATTCCCGGTGTGTGGAGTATTCACGTAAACACAGTCGGTTATGTGTTAAATAAACGTAAACAGTTGGGTGAAATCCGTATGAAATTGTATCAGTGTGTTGGATCCGTGTAGTTGGTCTTAAAGGGACAGCAGTCTAATTTAGCTGTTTCTGTCTGTCGTTATTAATGTTAAATCACTCACTGCGCTTGACTGAATCGCTTTTGGATCTTTAATAATAATCTGTTCATGTTTGATTGATACAGTGAAGACTAGTCTTTTATTTATACACTTTATTCTTACTGCATGTTAAATAAACCTAGCCTACAGTAGCTGAATAATTATACGTTTATTTCATATTTATTTGTTCTATTGTGTTTGTAATTTTCTTTTTTTTTCTTTTTTTTAATAACAAATATAAAATAAAATAAAAATAGCTATATAGAGATATATATTGTTATCGTGAAATAAAATGTATACTACAGTGAAACATACCCACAAGTCACAAGACAAAACAATCCCAAAACTAGTTCAGTTAGTGGGAAAAAAAAACACATGGAATTGAGTCTTGTATAAATATAAATGAATATATGTCTGTGTGTTCAGTATTTACATCATATTATATTATATGCATATTATGCTTTGTAATCTGATGTATTATTGATTTCTGTGCAGGATATTTCTGGGCTGCAAGATCACGAGTTTCGCACACGTTTCCCTGATTCCCCAGTGCTGCTGTATCAGCTACGATTAGGAGATGAGAAACTCCAGGTAGAGACGGACCGGATCGTGGTGGTTTAGCGCTTGTCTGCTAATTGACATCTGCATTGTTCTGTTTGTTTGATAGGCTCCCATGGCATTATTCTACCCTGCTGCGTTTGGGATAGTGGGGCAGAAGATGACATCGCTGCTGCATCGCTCTCAAGGAGACGCAGAGGATCCACATGATGAGCACTTCCTCCTGACCACACAGAGCAAACAAGACCAGGTACAACTCTCTACAGTTCCCGAGCTTCTACGGGCGGTGCAAAAGCACGATACTTACGCAGCATGTCATTTCACTGCACTGCGGCCACTAATGCACAACAGCAAACATGCAACCAGTTTGTTCAGGGGTTCAGATTTGGAGAAGTGTGTCATTGCATCAGTGTCTCAGCAATGGATGCTCTGCAGTGAATGGGTGCCGTCAGAATGAGAGTCCAAACAGCTGATAAAAACATCACAATAATCCACAAGTAATCCACAGCACTCCAGTTCATCAGTGAACATCTGGAGAAGACCAAATCAGCGTGTTTGTAAAAAACAATTCATTAAGTTGTTTTTCAAACCGTTGGCTTCTGGGTAAAATACAAGTCCTTTATCCATAATAAAAAGTCTCATCTGAATCAGGAGAGAAATCTGCACAGATCAAGCACTGTGTTGATGTGAGAGGACAAAAGGTGATGGACTTTTTCACTGGATGAAGCGTTATTATGGATTACATTTACATTTAGTCATTTAGCACACGCTTTTATCCAAAGCAACTTACAAATGAGGACAATAGAAGCAATCAAACCAACATAAGAGCAACAATATGTAAGTGCTGTGACAAGTCCCAGTCAGTGTAATGCAGTAAACGAAGCAAGTGTTTTTTTATGGACTTTCTTTTTTCTATGGATTATGGACTCATATTTTAGCCAGAAGTGACAGTTTGAAGGTAAAAACATTTTAATGATAGATTGGTTTCTTACAAACACACAGCGTTTGTCTTCTCCAGATGTTCACTGATGGACTGGAGTGGTGTGGATTATTGTGATGGTTTTATCAGCTGTTTGACTCAAGTGATGCAATGCTACATTTCTCCAATTCTGATGAAGAAACAACCTCGGGTACATCTTGGATGGCCTGAGGATGAGTGCATTTTTAGCTAATTTTCATTTCCGTGTGAACTATTCCTTTAAACACTATGTTTCTCTTCTTTTAGCCTGTTCAAACTGAACAGGTGAGAAATGGAGGTGTGTAACCTCAGCATGTTTCTCTCTCACACACAGTCTTCTAAAGCCACGACAGACCGCAAATTATTCCCTAAGCCTGCTGGGTTTGAGGGGGAATCCAACATGTGCGACCCATCGGAGAAGGGAAATCTGACTCAGGATTTGGATTTGAGTCACGCTCAAGCCGAGTGCCTCGTCGGTGGGGCGGATGCAGAAGAAACATCGTCAGCTCTGTTGTCCCGGAAGACGGCCATGACTCAGTTTGAGGGAAAAGCACTTGGCGTGGATAAAGCCATCTTACACAGCATTGACTCCTGCGGTAAATACTGACTTTACCAACACATGGCTGAATCTCCCAAAAACCTGGGGGCAAATCTGACCCCCTAATTAAAGCTTAAAGTTTGCCGTGCTATTAAAAAAATATTACGTAATATAATTTCAGCCATCTCTAACTTGGGTCATACTATGGACTGAGTGGTGTAATAATTCTTGTAAAAGTGTTGTTCTCTTATAAATTCCTATATAAATGTTCAGATATGAAAGATAAGAGAACAAGTTGAAGCGGAGCAAGAAACAGTATAGAAAACAGGTGGTTTCTGTGTTTTTCAATGATTAAAGTGAATTTGTACAGGGAAGGAAACGTTGTGTTGAAGAAGATGATAGATTACAGTCATTCCACATTGTACGATAATGTGCATAAAGAGTTTAGCTTCAGCTTAAGGCTATTGCTACAAATATTAGCAGCGACTTATGACTGCTTTTGTGCTGCAGGGTCACATTTGATTTCAAACATTTCTTACCTTATTATATTTTTATATTTTGGTACTGAGGCCTTCCAGCATGTGTTTATGGGTCTGTTTCCACAGCCTCAGATGAAACGAAGCGTAAGATGTACAGCTGTATTCTGGTAGTTGGTGGCGGGCTGCTGTTTCTCGGAGCACAAGAGTTTCTGCAGCATCGCGTCCTCCATAAGATGCCTCCATCTTTCCGTCGTCTGGTGGAGAACGTCGATGTCATCACACGACCAAAGGTGTGTAGGGAAACCGATATGTGTGTGAGAGCAGAATTTAAAAGAAGCTATTGATGACTTTGCTTTAAATAAACGCAGAAAAGTGTCTTTGTAAATAGTGACTGAAGTGCTTTCATGGTCATAGAAAGCACTGTGAGGAAGAGACACATTACAATGATCTTTTCTTCTCAATTGTATTCCGTGTTTGTCTTAGTTAAGCTGATGTAATGTTCTTTACAGATGTCATTTAATTAAAACTCTGCTAATCGTATTTGTTCCAAAACCATTTTTACTGAGAATAAATATGCATGCATATTTGAAGGGATAATTCACCCAAAAATGAAAATGTGCCATTAATTCACTCATTCTCAGGCCCTCTAATATGTAGGTGACTTTTTTTTTTCTTCAGTAGAACTAATGAAGATTCTGAGCTGAAACTGTGGTCCTTGGTGATTCATAAAATGCAAGTCAGTGGCTGCCTATTTTTGAGACCAAAAAAAAGGGCATATTTAGCAAAAACACAAAATTAAAAGCCATGACTCCTGACCATGTATCAAGAACTTAGGAAGTGAAACGGTCGTCTGTGCAAGAAACTGAAACTTTTTCTGTTTATATGTAGGAGGAGGAACTGAAAATTACAAATCTGATCAGTGACAAACTGAAGAACTACATTATATTTCTTAATAGTGGTTACTAAGCCTCTAGTGTGAATTTTACATGCAAGTTTAAGTATGAATAAGAGTTACTCAGGAGTCACTGACTGTAGTGTAGTGTGGCTTGCTGCATTGTGATAGTTAACAGACTATTCCCGCGCAGGACATGGATCCTCGTGTGATAGCGTGGAAGGGTGGAGCAGTGCTGGCGTGTTTGGACACCACTCAGGAGCTCTGGATTCACCAGCGAGAGTGGCAGCGCTTCGGTGTGCGGATGCTCCGTGAGCGGGCCACCTTTGTCTGGTGATCCCAGACGACACGAGCCATGCCTTCATGGATCTAATCTGTTTCCTTCTTATGTTTGGGACATGTCAATCTGGCAGTGTAATGATATAAACAATGTAAAGGTTGAACAATCATCTTGCAAATAATTTGTTTAGGATGATAATAATAACCATAGTAGATGTTTATGAATAAACAGTGGCAGTTTTTCATAAAAATTAAGCATTTTTTGTATCCTTTTCAATTTTCTCCACTCTAACCAGGAAAAAAAACATGCACTGTAACAGCTGATGTAAATTGTTTCTTACAATAGTAATATGTGACCCTGGAGCACAAAACCAGTCATAAGGGTCAATTTCTTGAAATTGAGATTTATACATCATCTGAAAGCTGAATAAATAAGCTTTCCATTGATGTATGGTTTGTTAGGATCGGACAATATTTGGCCGAGATACAACTATTTGAAAATCTGGAATCTGAGGGTGCAAAAAAATCTAAATATTGAGAAAATCATCTTTAAAGTTGTCCAAATGAAGTTCTTAGCAATGCATATTACTAATCAAAAATTAAGTTTTGATATATTTACGGTAGGAAATGTACAAAATATCTTCAAGGAACATGATCTTTACTTAATATCCTAATGATTTTTGGCATAAAAGAAAAATTGATAATTTTGACCCATACAATGTATTGTTGGCTATTGCTACAAATATACCCCAGCGACTTAAGACTGCTTTTGTGCTCCAGGGCCACATATGTATTGAAAAGTTGTTCTTTATCTTTAAAGTTTTATACAGCAGTTCTAGTCCTGGAATCGGATTGGCTGAGCAATGGTGGTGTTGTAGCATCTCATAATGTAATAAGTCATATGTAATGTTCATAATGTACTAATTTTCTAAAAAAATGTCACATTGTGACAGTGTAATAATGTTTTGTCTCATACATTTATTACATTATTAAATTAAAATAACTTATCGTGTAACAACGCGTAATGCTATGACTGCGTAATCTTGTAAGATAAATGCTATAAATATTCATTAGAATCTACAGTAAAACTGTATCAGGTAATAACACTGTTGCATAATGTAGTAAGTTATTTTATGAGAACCCTCAAAAAGAATGATTTCTTTCTAGAGATCATAGATGTGCCAACTGCTGAGAAACCATGACACTGTTTACATTTATGCATTTAGCTTAAAAGCGACTTACAGTAGAGAAACTTTAGCAATTTAGAGCCAACTATATTCATAATATACAATATCAGGTTTATAGGCGGCTTGATTAGTAAACCTGCTAGAGCAGGGGAGCGATTCAGAGAATAGTTGTGTGGATAAAGTACACAACTCCATTACAGATACTGCTCCATTACAAGTGAAAGTTGTAAAGACAGATTTTTACTTACAGAAGTACTTGCTTTTAAAAGTACATTTCCTTTTTATGGCAACGCACTGTTTTATTATTGCTGTATGCAATGCTTGCATTACCTTCTCTGAAGCAACTTACAATACATTACGCCTACTGAATACACTGACTAGCTTGTGGTATCTTTGAATTAAAGAGATTTTAGAATTTTAAAAACCTATACAAAAATTATTTAACACCCCTACCCACTCCCACAATCTCTCACAGCTCTGGCAGTGTGTGCGCACATCTACGTGCACCATTCATCCACATTAGAACCGAGTGGGACAGTGAGATTGCTGTAAATACAGACTAAGAAAAAAAATTAAACCTGTTTTAAAACCCTGCAACACAACTGTAGCTTTATAACTTTACAACAGCAACACCGCTTTAACAAAAAAGCAAAGCAGCAACAGATTTGAAATAAAAACACATTTCAAAAATGCTCTCTAATCACTCTTGCGGTAATTTAACGTCTGTGCAGTGCTGCTTCGTCAAACACCTATTGTGTTTTGTTAGGAGACGCACAACAGTTCTTCTGTGGCTTTATAGGTAATATTTTCATTTACACAATTTAGCAAAATAAGACAATATTGTGTCTAATATATACCACAATATTAACTTATTATTATTGAATTGTTGTAAATAAATATCACATTTGCAACTGGTCAGTGTTGGGAAATCACTTCACGTAACCCTAGAAGAGTGATTGGATTAGTGATCTACTTACTGATAGACTGTCTAAAAAAAGTCACGTTTTAGAGAAGAAAAATCACCCACTGACTTTCAAAGCTGCTACAGTAACGACTTTCTGCTTCGAGGACCTTGATAGAAATGTAGTGGAGTGAAAAGTACCATATTTATCTTTCAAATGTAGTAGTCCAGGTGATATGTGAAACTAATGTTCACTTTTTCATAAAAGCATGAAACTCGGTACAATTGTACAGTTTGGGGCCCTGAACATTTTCAGAAATGGAGCCATCGCAAAAATGCCTCGTGATTGCCATGGCAGCAATTTTACTTTAATAACCAAATTATGTGTTTTGTATTATATCTACTGAACCGAACATGCTAACATGGAAAATGTGATGTCTACCTCTATGTTTTGATGGTCAAGGATTACAATGATACCATATACAGCAACATAAACTGTTCAGATGAATAGTTATTGGTGAATTCAGTTATGTGAGAATGATTACAATAAAGTCGCAGTATTTGAGAAGATGCAGAATTAAATTTCTATAATAAATTGTAAAAAATTTCTAAGTATATTTCATGTAAACTTAAAGGGGTCATATGATGCTTTTTTAAAGATCATTATTTTGTGTATTTGGTGTAACAGACACTCTCTGGGGCTAGAGATGTTAGTGTCCAGAAGGTTGATACTTTTCAGTGCAGCCTTCCCTCTTGATGAACTGTCACTCTACCGTCACCTTGGTAACAGCACCACACTTTGCCTGACTTTAACCCTAACCCTAAGAGGTAAGTATAAATACACTTTCTTGAGATTATTAAAAAAACATCACTGAAACATATTTTATTCTTGAAAACAATCTTATTGAAGTACTGAATACAAATATTAATCAATTATAAAAGAAATAGAAAATTAATAGTGGTGTCCATTAATATGGACTGTTGTTGATGCTAGCTTTGCTTAAAACAAAACAAAAGTTGGCACAGAGTACCGCATAATGCACACTTATAGTTGATACAATCAATCCATTAAATACTTTACAGAATTTCTATTCACTAGAATCAGTAAATGTATTGAATGTAATGTGTATTTTTATCATCAAGGACAAAAACATGGAAGACAAGAACTGCCAAAATCTCCGAAATGACACTGGTCAGTTTAAGGACATTCATCCTACTGACTGGTCAAAATGTATCCTATGTCAGCAAATAACATCAGAGAACCTACAGTGCCCTGCAGATTCAGTGAGAACAGATAATGTGGCTGGATACTTGTCTCTGACTAGAAACATCACAAGATTTCATGACCTGAAGCAATTGCCTATCCCTTTATATATAGAGAGGCTGGATGAAGGACCTGGTATGGCATCCACTCCTCAGTTGCATCAAGCAAAGTGGCATAAATACTGCTGTCTGAAATTCAACAACACCAAGCTAAAGGGAGCAGAGAAGAGATCAGCACCTCAAGATGACCCAGTTGTCATGAAAAAGTACACTCAGTCAAGCGATGAATATAAAAAAGAAGAGAATATGTGCCTTTTTTGTGAAGATCTGACATCTGCTGAGCCACTTCATGAAGCAAGTACCTTCCGAATTGATGGTCATGTCAGAAAATGTGCTTGGGAATTGCAAGATGAGTGACTACTAGCAAAAATGAGTGCAAGTGATGTGGTTGCAATAGAGGCTAAATCTGTTAAGTTGCCTAGAAAACAGTATAAGCAGTGCCCCAGACTGCCTCATGAAACAATGCCCCAGACTGTGAGGTCCAAATACTAGATGGGTCAGCAATCATCAACATGCTAAAACCAGGCGTAGCTAAAACCTACAATGAATTTTCCAGCAAGATCTTCATACCATATATCAAAGAGAAACTTGAAAGGGCCAACAGCGTGGATGTTGTATGGGACTGCTATGAAGTCAACAGCTTAAAGTCCCAGACAAGACTGAAGCGGGGAAAGGGGACAAGAACAAGTGTTGATGGAAAAAACAAGTTACCAACCAACTGGAAAGGCTTCCTGAGAGTAGATGAAAACAAAACAGAGCCTTTTCACTTTCTGGCCAGGAACCTTGTGAAAATGTCGACTACTAAACAAGTTGTTTCCACTTGCGGATCCAATGTTCTATCATCTCACCCACAAGAATCAGATCAGATTGCCCCTTGCACGCATGAAGAGGCAGATACAAGGATGTTACTCCATCCATCCGCTGCATGGAGTAACATCCTTGTATCTGCCTCTTCTTGCACGCATGAAGAGGCAGATACAAGGATGTTACTCCATGCAGCGGATGCTGCAAGAAAAGGATTTAAAAAGATCACCCTGCGCACTGTGGACACAGATGTTGTGGTCCTAGCCATTGCACATGTGTCAGAGCTGGGCATTGAGGAGCTGTGGGTGGCATTTGGGACTGGCAAAAACTTCAGATACATACCTGCCCATGAGATTGCCAAATCTCTGGGTCCTGACAAATCCAAGGCCCTTCCTTTGTTCCATGCCTTCACTGGCTGTGACACAGTATCTGCATTTGCAACCAGGGGAAAGAAGACCGCATGGGATACCTGGAATGCATTTGACATGGCAACAGAGGCATTCATGGCTTTGTCAAAGGCTCCAAAAAGCATTCCAGAGGAGGTCATTTCCATTGTGGAGCACTTTACAATTCTCCTCTATGATTGCACCAGCAGCCAACTCGACATCGATCAAGCTCGTATTGAGTTGTTCTCAAACAAAGGAAGAGGAATGGAGCAAATCCCCCCAACTAAGGATGCACTGGTGCAGCACAAAAATGTGTTCAACTCAAGCAAAAGAATGAAAATGTGCATTTGATCAGATGTAACTGAAGTACAAGGTTATGAGATACATTATGTGAATCAAGAAAGGCTGCCGGGTTAAAAATCATTCTCATCCAGCCCCTTTTGAGAACCACTGCGCCTCGCCAGCTCACCCCATGTTGATATTCTCCACATACCTGGCCATTGGTTCTGACCATACCTATCCTCCGCATGTCCTAAAAGGTTGAAACCCCTACCTTAGAGCACCATACCTGTGACAACCTGGACTATAGTGAATTTAAAGTGGTAAGTTTCCAGAAAAAAATAATACTCAAGTAAAGTACAGATG